TCCCGATGCCGGGGCGCGATGTTGGAGAAGTGGGCCGGCTCTCAAAGCCCCGCCGTCCCAGCCCGCAGTATGTGTGCGGGACGCTCTCCTCGCCCCGCTTTGTATCTTCGGGTACGTGCCGGGGGGGGGGGAGTCTTTATTGTAAGTGAAAGTGAAACTGTCCAAGCTGAGTAAAATGTCAAATGTAAACAAACAGCTTAAGGAGAGAAAAGAAAATGAGATGTTAAATTATTTTAATTACAATAATAATGCAATGGCCTGATCATGAAAATTGTTACAAACACATTTATAGTTATTCCTGTACTCACTGACGGCAGTGGGATTCCATACAGGAGTAACTAAGGACCTCAGTCCAAACCCATTAAGTCCGTGGATAGACTATCATTGCTTTCAGTGGGTTTTGGATCAGACTCGATGTGTGTGGACAACTCTTTGTGGGATTAGGTCCCCAGATTGTTAAACGAAATAACTGGGCCCCAAAGTATTATTCATTACACATCTTTTAAAAAAATAATTGTTTTTACTTTTATAAATCCCCTTAACAGAAAAGGAAAGAAAATTAATTAGGCCTGCTTATATTACAGCCTTTTAAAAATCCTTCTTACTTGCTTGACAGTCTGCAATTGTCTGCTGAGCTAAAGCCTATTTTAAGATTTTGTAGTTAATGAATCTTTGATGCAACTGATGGTAATGATTTCTCTTAAACCATTTTGTTCTGTGATATCAGGGCCTACTGGGAGACTTTTTCAGTGAGCCAGTGCTGCACTCTAAATATCCATTTTACATTAAGAAAACAAATTGCACATTTTGAATAATGCTTTTTACAGTAAGCAAATAGACTCGCATCCCCACAGACCATATGAACATAGGTGGTGATATTCATGTGATAATTACTTCACCATACATCTTTGCATGGCCTCACCTGCACGCCGTCTATAAATCCTTTTCTGAAGCTATTTCGAACAAACCAAATTCTCAAACTGTTGAGGAGCTTTGAAGAGCCACTGTATATTAAAAAACAAAATAAAAAAAACCCTGCTAGATAAATGTTTCCTTCTTTTCCCCCATAAGTGGACTTTTCTGATGTAATCTACACTGGTTTGAGATGTAGGCAATATTCTGTCTTGCACCAGAACCAGGTTTGCGACCTCCCTACCCTGCAAGGCCAGAAGTGGGAGCTCTATATCACTGGAAAGGGGAGATTCCAGATATAATAGGCAGGAAAGGTAAATACATTTAAAACTCTGTGCAAATAATAATTTGAAGGATAGAAGATCTATATACTTGAAAGTTAAATACACAAAAGGGCTTGTTTTCAAATACCTTGCATCTTGCATGATCATTTACATCTGTGTAGAGCAAATGTGAAATGTTATGAAAACAGAGAAGTAGTATTTTACACCCACTTTGCACATGTACAAGGCAATGGAGGTTGAGGTTTAGGAGTCTTACAGGAAATGACATCTTGCGCATTCTTCTCACTTCTTTGACTTTGAACCATTCAGCATTGAAGAAACTTTCATGTGTATAACTGCTTGGTCCTGCTTTATTTTATTTTTTTGTTTTGTTTGTGATTATCTCCAAATAAATGTTATAATTTTTTTTAATTTTGATTTCTCAAGAATTTATTTAATAATAAATATTTTATATAGTTGCTTTTATCTGATAATTTCAAACACTTGCCAACAGTTAGTATGATTTTTATTGTTGTTATTATTTCCAGTTAGATCAGGAAACTGAGGCACAGAGAAGTTTTGTGATTTGCCCAAGGTCACATAGTAAATCACTGACAGAGCAAAGAATAGAACAGGTTTCTTGATTTCCATTTCCTTTCTCTACCCCCACACTGCTATTTAAATTAGGGCTGTCAATTAATCACAGTTAATGCAAGCGATTAATGCAAAACAAATTAACTAGATTAAAAAAAGTCATGATTAATCACAGTTTTAATTGCACTGTTAAACATTAATAGAATACCAATTTAAATTTATTATAAATATTTTTGGATGTTCTACATTTTCAAAGATTGATTTCATTTACAGCACAGAATACAAAGTGTACTGTGCTCACTTTTGTTTCAAATATTTGCACTGTAAAATAGAAACAAGAAATAGTATTTTTCAATTCACGTCATACAAGTACTGTAGTGCTATCTCTTTATCATGAAAGTACAATTTACAAATATAGAATTTTTTTATATACAACTGCACTCACACACAAAACAATTTAAAACTTTGGAGCCTGTAAGTCCACTCAGTCCTACTTCTTGTTCAGCCAATCGTTAAGAGAAACAAGTTTGTTTATATTTACGGGAGATAATGCTGCCCACTTCTTATGTACAATGTCACCTGAAAGCGAGAACAGGCGTTCGCATGGGACTGTTGTAGCCGGCATTGCTGGGTATTTACATTCCAGATATGCTAAACATTTGTATGTCCCTTCATGCTTTGACCACCATTCCAGAGGTCACGCTTCCATGCTGAATTTAAATTGATATTGTATTATTGGTTAACAGTATGATTAATTGTAACTATTTTTAAAATCTCACGCTAAATTGTGATGTTTTTTTAATAGTTTGTCAGCCCTAATTTAAATGCAGCATGGCTGTCTACTGAAGCAGTTTCCAAAAAGAAGACTCATCTATAAGAGAAGTACCACTCAACAAGGGGGCAGAAGTTCTGTTTGTGTCTGTTCACTGTGCAGTCTCACTCTGGAGGTCAGCCAGCAACATAATGCAATAAATCTATCTGGTAAATAGGGATCCTAGTGATATATTTTGCTGAATTTCATAATGGTGACAAAGCTGTTTGCAAGGATGGAATGGCAGATATAAGCATGCATCATTTGTTGGCACTTGTGAACAAGTGCATATGGGAGTATGGCATATGCATATTGCATATGGGAGTAGGTTTAAATTACATGCATTCCTAACTATGGATTGCATTCCAGTGGTAAGTCATAGTTCGTGTTTCAGTGGGTTGCGTTCTGATGAACTCTACACAACTGACACCAGGCCCATTTCTAAAGCTGCTATGATGTTCTGAGTATGGACTTTGTGATTAAATCATACTTAAAATGTACTAAACAAAAAGATAGTTATTTAGAATACTGTATGAATATGCAAACATGTAGCAAAATAAGGATCCCCTTTAGCCTTGCATTTTCAACAGAGCCTGAAGGATTCAGCACCCAACTCCCATTGAAATTAAATGGGAGTTGGGTGTCTAACTAATTCCCTCAGACGCCTCTGAAAAATCCCATCTTTGATGATCCCTATACAGGATATTTATCTAAGCGTTGACTTCCTTCCTCTCTCTTTTCCCTTCTGCTTTCACTTACCCTATAAAGCCATTCTTTCTTCTCTTCCCTTTGATGCTTTCTTCATCACTCCCTCTCTTAATTTTCCTCATTCAAAATTACATTGAATACATGTGACACTTTTTGGTGTACCCAGGACTGAGAGTCAGCCTGTTACCCCGCGTCTCTAGGGGGAGGGAGTCTTTCTTGTGGTAGTTGGGTATCAGTTTCCTGGCACCACCAGATTTTCGGTCACTCAAGCACTCTCCCAGGGCTGTCCCTAGCCATTTTGGTGCCCTACGCAGGCCCGCCCCCCCCGCCAGGCCTCCTCGGGGGCAGCACCTGCTCCCTCCCCCGCCAGGGTCTAGGCTGCACTCAAGGCCTGCGGGGCCCAAGGGGCAGGAGCTGTGGGGGCCAGTTGGGGGGGGGCCCACAGGCCCAGAGTGGTTCGGGGAATTAGCAGGGGGCTGGGAGCAGCCCGTTCCGCTTCCCTCGCCCCGGCCCCAGCCGTGTTGCTTGTGGGAGGGGTCCCCTGCACTCACCAGCAGCAGTGGGAAGTGGAGCAGCCTGACCCCAGCCTGCTCTACTCAGCCAGCTTCCAGCTGCGGCGCTCTGCTTCCCGCCGCCGGTGAGTGCTGGGGTCGGTCCCCCTTCACGGGCAGCGGGAAGCGGAGCGACTCGGCTAGGAGCTGGCTGAGTAGAGCGGGCTGGGGCCGAGTTGCTCTGCTTTCTGGTTCTGCCGGCGAGTGCGGGGTCGCTGGGGGAAGACGTGGAATGGGGGCGGAGCTGGGGGAAGGGTAAGAGGTGGGGTGGAGGGAGTTGTTCAGGGCCCCCACGCCCCGAGGGACGGCCCTGCCCCTTGCAGTGGGCGGCGGCCAAGGGATAAGGCTGGTTGCCGGAGCTGGTGCTACCGCGTATGCAGCTCGCAGCTGCCTAGGGCACCATGAAATTTGGGGCAATTTGGTGCCCCACGCAGCTGCGTATGTGCCTAGGGACGGCCCTGCACTCTCCTAACTCACCTTGCAGGCTAACCATACGTACACCCCAAGCCCCCCTGAATCATTCTCCTGTGATTTCCAGCCCCTGACACTCGTTACTTACAGAAGTTCCAGATGCTACAAAATCAGTGCCTGTTGGCGATTAAAATATTAAATAGCACAATGATAGCCCCCACCCCATAGCATTAGCAAAGATAAAGCAGAGCAGTGCTCATGATAATGAAAAATAACATTTTAAAAAGTCCGTGATTTAAAGGTGCGAAACCACACGCTGCCAGTGGATGAGAAGAACAAGGTAGCCCCACGTCAGGCCCCCACCAGCAGCTGCTGAGACAAATCAGTGAAGGGCCCGGAGGTTTTAGGCAGACACACTTTGACAAGGGACGCTTTTAACACAAGCAAGTACGGCTGTCTGTGTAAAACACCTCACAGAACCCCGCCTCTCTCAGCAGCTCCATCCACCTTTGTAGCCGGCTGCATGAAGCGAAACAGCTCCCACCCCCCACAGCCCCAATCCCATAACCCCTGCAGGCAGACTCAGCGCGCACGCGCGCACTCCCCCTGCCACTGCCAATCAGCGCAGCGCATGCGCCTTGCCTACCCTCACCCTCCTGTGCGGACAGTGCCCCGCCCCTCCGCTCCGCCCACCCTGCCCCTTTTTGTTGTTGCGTCACACCGCCCGCCCAAGTGAGGGCAGAGGGTGAGGCGGGCGGCGGCTTCAATAGGTGTCACTGAGCACGCTCAGCTTGCGCGGGCGCGCTCCATAGCTGCAGAGCCGAAAGTTGCTGCCTCTCCCCCCTGAGTCTCCCGGAGGCAGCGGCGGGAGGGACGCGCTGCGGGGCCTGGCGCCGCGTTGTTGTGGTTCCGGGGCGCGGCGGCCATGGCTGTGCTGCTGGAGACCACGGTGGGCGACCTGGTGGTCGACCTGTACACGGAGGAGAGGCCCAGAGGTGAGGGGGGCGCGGGGGGGGGGGGCGCTGGGGAGTTGCAGCGGGGGGGGGCGCGTTGGGGGCAGACCCACCCAGTGCAAACGTCCCGCTCCTTCAACTGAGGAGGGCGGAGGCCACAGAGTTTAGGATAACGCTAATGGCGCGGTGCTGTGCGGGGGGGGGTGGGTGAGTTCAAAAGCAGGGCGCCAGTAGGGTCACGGAGCAGATCATGTGGTGATGCTGACTGTGCTTTAGCTCTCCTGGGCGATACGGTCACAGAATGAAAATGAGGGGTTGATTGCATTTGACTTGACTCACCCACTCCATGCATCTGAAGAAGTGGGTTTTTTACCCACGAAACCTTATGCCTAAATAAATCTGTTAGTCTTTAAGGTGCTACCGGACTCCTTGTTTTTGTGGATACAGACTAACACAGCTACCCCCTTTGATACTTAACACTCTTAAGGAACCCCTTGTTGGGGGCTTGCAGTAATCCTGCCCTTTTCTGGTTTGCAGTTCTCATAAAGTGTGCACAAATATTTATTTATTTATTTTAGTTGAAAAAAATGCATGTTGGAGATTACATTCGCTATACCAAATTAGGTCCTTGATTCTGTGTTTGGGTGGGTGTAAGGACGTTAGGATAAAAGATGCTTACTCTGGTAAGTTAAATGTGTGTACTTGCAGGATGAGGGCCTTAGTTTCCACATTTAATTTCAGGGGGATGTGGAAATTTATTACTCTGTTTTTTTTTTCTAATTATAAACAACAATTTTGGTTGGGAACTCCTTTTCTTCTACTACAGACACTATACATCTTATTTTTAAGTCTCTAAAATATTCAGTAAGTGTAATAGTTTTTAAATTGAAAAACCAACATTGACTTTTTCCTTGGTAGACATTAATTGGGGAAGGCCAAGGAGGGTAGAATGTGTGCTGATCTTTGTTATACAACTGTTCATATTTAGGATTCTAAATATTGCTGGATGTGGGATTTAAGAAGGGAAAATGCATAGTATTTAATCTTTTCCATACGTGTGCGGAAGGCTTTAGAATCAAGGTTAATAAAGTCCCAGTACAGCCAAAAAGAAAAGATCCATGTGCAAATCACATTAACAGGTTTTTTTAGTAAATTTCAATATAATTTCTTGCAGCTTGTCAGAACTTTCTGAAGCTTTGCAAAATCAAGTACTACAACTACTGCCTCATTCACAATGTACAGGTGAGTGTTTATAATAGATTTTTATTTCCTTCTTTGTCTACATCCATAAGTAGACTAATACCTTGTGTATCTTGCATTGTTACAGAGGGATTTTATTATACAAACTGGTGACCCCTTGGGGACTGGCCGTGGAGGGGAGTCCATCTTTTGGTGAGTAAAACCTACCTAAAATGAAATAGGCCTAATTTGGGAGTATAGTTGACCCAGTTTGCACTTGCTGAATGTCCTACTGAATCGTTGTTGGGAGATGAGAGCTTCTTTTGGCTCATACATCTTGTCATTCCTCATGCTATCTTTTGATCCTAGACACTTAGTTTTTTTTCGGGACAGCGTGCTGCTTCTGTTCTAAATCAAATCAATAATGGGTGTAATTGTGAGCAGGTGACTGTACGTTAGGCTGCTGTGCTATGTGTCCTACATAGCTGCTCTGTGGAAGTAAACACATTTTTCTACTGTAGTGCTGAGAACTATGATTTACTGCACTTACATTTTGCTTGTGATGGAGAGGAAGCAGGCGACTATAGTAAAAATTCCTGTATTCATGTGTCCACTCCCCGAGCTCCCTTTCCAAGTCAATAAAACTGTTGCTTGGGCTCACATTTTAACTACATTAAATACATGAAGTGTGCTTTTTGGAAATAGATAATTGGAGAGTCTTGTGTTTGAGTGTTTTTTAAGAGGGATGCATTAAAATTGGTGTTAGGAAGAAAATTAAGTTTCTTATAAAAATCAGTTTTCTATAGTGATGCACCTGAAGAAACATGCAGACAGGTAAGATAGAATTCTGGCTGACTGCATAATCTTCCAGATTATTTTTCCTTTGAAACTGATGTTCTAGAGGGAAAATCAAGTTCAAGTTGCAGGGGGAAAAAACCCTGTATTTACCGCATAGTTGATGAATACTTCTCATGTAACTATCTGCAGCCAATAGACTTGCAAACTGGCTAATGCTACTCCAGACCTCCGTAATACAGACCTTTAAGGAAGTACACCAAATAATTTTGCAGCTGTTCTATGCTATGTTATGCTACAATGGAGTTAGGGAGACCTGGTTACAAACTTTTACCCACGCTATAGGGTAGATGGGGACCAAACTGTGTCCCTGTAAGTGGTTTAAAACTTTTGACAATCCAGAGTTCTGGTGTATTATTATTCTGGTCTGTTACCAGTCACTCCTGGGATCTTCTCTTCCGTTGCACTTTTTCATATTATACACTGATTTTTCTTTCCCTGCCTGGCTCTTTGATGTGCTCTGTCAAAAGTAGAATCTTCTAAAAGAGTGGCAGGCTGACTTGCTTCCCTCTTCTGTTCTACTGTTCGCCTCTGAGAATACAGATCCATTCTGAGGATGTTATCTTTTTTTATTGCTGAACAGGACTGAAATGTGGGGGTTTCAGTTCTTGGTGCAATGTAAACTGATATAAGCCATGTTGAAATGGATTTAAGAGTGCACATGTAGGTTCATAATCAGTTTAAAATCATAACTTTATGTGTAAGCCAGATCTCTCACCTGGGGGAGAACAATGTGAGATCAAGATCAGACATTGAGACTTAAAATCACTGCATCGAGTCCTGTATGCCTTGAAAGCTAATGTGTAAAATGAAGTTTGCAGCTTTTTCTGTTCAGATGATGAATTTTAGTCTATGAACAAGCTATTTAATTGCTTTTACTTTGTTTTATAAGGAGAATTTGATGCACAAGTGCCATTTATATTTGATAAAGTGAATTATGCTTTTAATTCCTTGCACACTGTACTGAAAGTACATTTTGACAGTAGCTTCTAGCAAATTACATGCTAGTATCTACCAGAGATGTCAGAAAGTATTTTCTAATATGCTTAAAACCCCCTAATTCTGTAGAATGTCTGCAGGGAAAGAGCTGTTAACATTATCTGCATTATGGGGGGTGGCTGGGTAATCCTATAGTCACAGTATAAATGTATAGTGTAAAGTGATCATTTTCTTTGAGCATTCTTATTATAACATATTTTTGTAAATTATTTTGTCTTGTTCACTGTTGTATAACGCTTGTTTCACTGTCAGCATTTTTTAATCTTGCTGCCTCATAACATATTTATTGTATATATTTTCAGTAAACTCTATGGTGATCAAGCTAGATTTTTTGAGGCAGAAAAAGTGCCAAGAATTAAGCACAAGAAAAAGGGAACCGTGTCAATGGTGAACAATGGCAATGATCAACATGGATCTCAGGTCAGCACACAGTGTTGAGAGGCTTTGCTATAACTCTGGAATAGCAAAGAGGGAAACTCCACAGTTTAAAAAATGTGCATAACAATGAAAATAACACACAATTGCTGTTCCTTATTGTTAAAAGGATATTGATGAGGTATTCATATTTTTTCAAATGATTCTAGAGCTTCCTAGTTATAATAAACTCTCTAACTTGGAAGCTGAAATCCTACCTTAATAACATGTTTTCTTCATCATCAGGTGCACTTATTGGCTCATTATTGTAGAGCTGCTCAAAGGTGCTAGGCTGATAAAATAATCATTAACAATAACGTTGTTTAGGTAGAAGAGGACTGAAAGGGACAGTGTGGCGGTTAACCTGGCCTAATGTGTAGTATTCCCTACGTATACTTCAAAAAAAATTTATTTTTTAAAATCTGCTCCTGTGCTCCTGGACAAATCTGTCAGTTCCTCCTAGCTGGAGCTGTGTCCAGCTAAATATAGCAATGAGCAAGACTTTTCCAATTTGATTGTAAAGCCTGGGTTGCAATTGTCATTCATTATTGTGTTGGTTAACCATATGGTCTGTTCTAAATTAACGGTGGAGGGCTAGATGCTCAGCTGGTGTAAACTGTCATAGTTCCATTAAAGCCAATGGAGCTACATCAGTTTACGCTGCTTGAAGGTCTGTTCCTGTCCTCTCCCATTGAAGTCAATGGTAAAACTCCCACTTACTTCAGTGGGCACGGTGTCAGGCCCAAAATTATATGGAGATTCTAAAAATTTTACAGTTTACTTGTAAACAGGTTTTTTCATCTTGTCCTTGTAGTTTCTTATTACTACAGGGGAAAACCTAGATTACCTTGATGGTGTGCACACAGTGTTTGGAGAAGTAACAGAAGGCATGGATGTATTAAAGAAAATTAACGAGACCTTCGTTGACAAGGAATTTGTTCCTTATCAAGACATCAGGTATGACTAGGTTTAACTTCGTAGCTTAGTGGTGACAAAGTGCTGGAGGCTAACTTATTAGCCAGCCCTCAGATCACTTAGGCACAAATTAGTTTCTATGGAGAAGGCCGACTGGGGAGTATGTGGCTAATTAGCTGATCAGTCTCGAGACTGATGAACCAGTTAGACACCAGCTGAGGGTGACACAGGAAGGAAGGGACAGAAGATTAGGTTAATTGAACCCTGTCTATTCTGGAATTCTAAGGAAGGGAGATCTCTGTGCCTCTCTGGCCCTGCAGGAAGGGGCAAGAAACCACTGTTAATGCTTAGCTGCACAGGACTGTATTGGGGTTGGTGGCAGGAATATAAATAAATAATATGGAGGTGCTACTTACTGGAGAGTCAGAGAGGTTTGTGGGTATCAGAGGGTGGGAATGGAATCTGCCCTCTTACAGAGGGTGTGTTGTGATTTTTGTAAGAACTGGCTCATTGATCTTTCTGTAAATAGAGTTAATATGGCAATGTCAGGACACTTGTTAAAGTATCTAGTATGTTTCTTCGTTCCATTATTACTGGTAAAATATTGTGTAATTATATGTTATGGGGGACTTACTAAATGACTTTAGAGGAAGATGCATTGACTAGATCATGCTGTCTTATCAACTGAAAGAGAAGCTGTAGGCCCCAGACCTGTAAGCTCAGATGGACCCTGCATCTGCACATAGCAACATTGGGAATTTGCAGGATTGGGTCCATAGATGGGATGGATGTTGTTGTCCAGACCATCCAAAATAATGTTTATAATGTTGTTCATCTGTGTATGCGGTGTTGTAGGTGTGTTAGTCCCAGGATATGAGAGATACTAGGTGGGTGAGGTAATTTCTTTTACTGGAACAACTTCTATTGGTGAGAGACAAGCTTACACACAGATCTTCAGGTCTGGGACATGTACTCAGTGTCAAAACTAAGTACAAGGTGGAACAGATTGTGCAGCATAAGTAGGTAGCACATATTTCAAGGGATCATTCAAGGTGAAGTGGCCTGTTAACACCTCTCTAATCATAGAGGGAAAAAGGAGAGGAAGAAAAAGCTGGGGGAGGAGGTTAGTGGGTTATAGATTATTGTAATAAACCATAAATCTAGTTTCTGTATTCAGTCCATGATTTTTAGTGTCTATAAATTTAAGCTCCCAGGCTTGTCTACTGAAAGTGTTATGCAGGTTTCCTTTGAGGATGAGAACTGAGTGGTCAGATATAGAGTGATCTCATTGTGAAAAATGTTCACACACACAAGTGATAGGGTGTTTTTTGTCTTTTTATAACTTTTTGGGAATGTAGTGATGGGGCATTTAGTGCGCTGGATGAGGTACAGCGCATGTTGACAGGCATGTGTAAGGACCAACGGATCTTGAAAGGTGCGTTGTTGGGGGATGTTGATCATTATTGCAGTTCAGATATATCTACAGATTTTTGTATGTGCTCATCTAGCAGGCTCTGTTGCTTTTAGTTGATATATTTTGGTCTGTGGGGAGCTTGCTTCTGATGGTGAGGTTGGGATGGGGTTGTTTGAAGGCCAGAAGAGGGGGGCAGTTCAGGAAAGATTTACTTCAGGATATGGTTCCCATAGTGTATAGGTTGTAATTGTTTGATACCCCTGCCTCCCATATGGGTTCCAGTGTGGGTTGTTGGTGACAATTAGAGGTGTGCAGACAGAGGAGGCATTATTTCCATATTGAAGCAGGTTCTCTCGAGGAATTTGGGTGACTTGTTCCATGATGTGATCTACTTCTCTAGTGGACTACCCTTGCTTGTTGAAGGTGGTCTTAAGTGTGTTAAGATGAATATCCCAGACTTTCTCCTTGGAGCATATTCTGTGGTATCTGAGTGTCTGTTTGTAGATAACAGATTTCTTGGTGTGTTTGGATTGGTTACTGGATCTGTGAAGGTGTCTGTGGTGATCTGTTTCTTCTATATTAATCTGTGTACCACTTTCGGACAGTTCAGCTGTATTTTTGTTTTGATTCCATGTAGCCAAAATTAACTGTAGGATGCACTAAGTGGGGAGTTAAGAGGGCAAGAGGTTGAAATGAAGACTTTACTTGTAAACTAGATTAAATGTTGGTCAAGGAATAAACAAGTACATTAAAAAAACAATTGTTTATTAATAAAAATACTTGGTTTATTCCTTGTATCCTAGCAGCCTGTGTGCACATCTGAACTGGCTTTATTAATCGTTATATATGAGTACGTAGAATTTAGTATGTAGTTATACAGAGTATTTGTCTAGCCCTGTAGTAGGATATAATCTCTACTAGTATCCCTAACATTAATTGATGAACATGGAATCAAAGTAAGCTAGTTTTAAACCAATTAAAATGCTGACTCTTATACTGGACTTGACTTGACTTTTTAAATTTCCCATTAGGATAAATCATACAGTGATATTAGATGATCCATTTGATGACCCCTCTGGTTTAATAATACCTGACTGCTCCCCAGAGCCCAGCAAGGAACAACTAGATGTAAGTACTGCCAACAGCTTCTTGGGAAGGTGTTGAAAATGAATAAATGTGCTAACTAGTTTCCCCTATGGCCCACATTCAGCAAAGCACGTGAATAGTCCATTTAAGTCAAATAGACTACTCGTGCTTAAAGTTAAACATGCAAGGAAGTGTTTAGCAAAATAAGATGTTTAGCCAATATGCAATTACACATTTCTTGAGTGGAGGAAGATTTCTGAAGATCTATATATAGGAATTGGGAAAAGGTTCAGAAAAGGGCAACAAAAATTATCAGGGGTATGGAATGGCTTCCATATGAGGAGAGATTAATAAGACTGGGACTTTTCAGCTTGGAAAAGAGATGACTAAGAGGAGATATGTTAGAGGTCTATAAAATCATGACTGATATGGAGAAAGTAAATAAGGAAGTGTTATTTACTCCTCATAACACAAAACTAGGGGTAACCAAATGAAATTAATAGGCAGCAGATTTAAAGCAAACAAAAGGAAGTATTTCTTCATACAACACACAGTTAACTTTTGGAACTCCTTGCCAGAGGAGGATGTTGTGAAGGCCAAGACTATAACAGGGTTCAAAAAAGAACTAGATAAGTTCATGGAGGATAGGCCCATCAGTGGCTGATGGGCAGGGATGGTGTCCCTGCCTCTGTTGGATCACTTGATGATTGCCTGTTCTGTTCATTCCTTATCCACTGGGACCTGGCATTGGCCACTGTCGGAACACAGCATACTAGTCTAGATGGACCTTCACAGCACAGTTGTACTTGAAGTGACCTCTATGGTTACAAAGCAAATAACTATTACAATTTTGAAGAAGAGAACAAAAAAAAGATCAGGGTGTTTCCAGTTGTGACTGTGTATAGTGGGATGGGATGCAAAGACTTACTTTATAATTCACACTACAAAGAGAAAAGCTGTAATGTTATTTTAATAGTAATGAACCTGTCGTCTGAAATGCCCAGCTCTGGCATTGTTTCCTTGATACATTCTTCTGGAAGAATCAAAAAAATCACTGCTAACTTATTTTCTTTTTACAGTATAAAATGAAGTTTATCCTTTTATTCCCTTTTTTTCAATAAGAAACATTATCAGCATTTCCACACAAAAGAAAATTATTGTTAAACTGGAAAGTATTATTTCACATACAAGCAGACACGCTGATTTGTTTCGTTTGTATTCTAGGCAGAAGGGATTTGCAGAACAATTCAGCTTATTATGTTTTCTTACCTTGCAGTTATTGGAGCTGCTGAAAGGAAATATCTTTTGTCTGGGAGCAATGTTTCAAACAATAAATTGACTAGAGAAGTTACATGTTTTAAAAAAAGTTTTAACAGATACCTTAGTGATGAGTTTGGTATAGGAACTTAATTAGAATAGAGGGTATACCAAAATTTGTCTAATATATCCACAAGTCTAAACACTGCATATGGAGCTTGATAGCGCAGTGTATGTTAGACAAACACTTGAAAGTTTTATAATCAGACACTTGCAGAGGAAAAACAGGGATACACCAGTTAGCTTTAGTGAAATGTTTTGAAATAAGAGAACTTGTTGGAGGAGAATTTAAAATGGCCAATATTTTGTTGTAGGAATGTTTTTGTTTGGAATACTTGACTAAATACAATAGTATAAAATATACAGTTCCTGTAATTGTATTCTGTTAAATTGAAGTCCTGCTAGATGAGGCAGAAATCTTCAATACTACTTGTATACTCATTTCAATAAAGAAATATTAAAAAAAAAAGGGGGGGGGGAGGGGTACTCCCCTAAATAGAAACAAGCTGGCAGGTATGTTGGGGATACATTTGGTATAATAGAGGTGAAAGACTCCATATTGTCTAATTGAATCTAGCCCAGGTTGACTGTGATAGAAGCTCATTACCATGTGTAGGCTGCTTAGTTGTCTGTCTGACCAGAATGAATGATCTTAGCCTAATGGTTCAGGGATATAGTCTTAGTTTCACAACACACACAATCCCAGACTGAGGTAGAGTTTTAGTATTAAGAAAAATAAAGGCTTACCCATGGGTCAGTATTAAAATGCTATTTTTTTTTCCAATTTCTCATAGAGTGGCAGAATAAGAGCAGATGAAGAAATTGATGACTTCAAAGGAAAGTCTGTTGATGAAGTGGAAGAAATTCAGGCAGAGAAAGAAGCAAAAACTCAGGCCATTCTTTTGGAAATGGTAAACATCAGTTTTGTGTTTTGGGGTTTTTTGGTCTTGTCAGATGTAATTTCTTTGTGTATATATGCTCTACATTATGTTTGGGTGAGTGAATGCTTAAGACAAGTGCTTGCCTTGAGTTGCATATCAGAAATGTTGGTCTCATGGACTAGGGTGCATGGTATCAGGCTGCTGGTAGAGCTAAAAGAGTGAACATGGACACTTGATCTTCATCCATTTGTAGGAGGAGATTTCCCAGGAACACCTGTACCATCTCTGTTCCAAACCCAGGACTAGAATTGGTCTTATAGGGGGTTTGTAAGAACTTGCTAGAGATGCTTGTAAAATTATAAAAGCTGGTCAGTCCTGCATGGAACTGTTATCCCTGCTGTGTGTTTCTTTCTTGGTACTGGAAGTTTGTATGTATTGGATGGCTGAGTTACCATGAAATAATTTCTCCCCAAATTCACATATTGGCATTGGGAATACACAGGAATATAGTGTTGGTTCCCATTCACAGAATTACAACAGAATAGCTGCCTGCTGTTAGATAATAAGCAAGAACCCACTAATAGTTAATTTTTTCTCCCTGCTTTCTTCCCTTGGGATGTTTGACTTAATGGTACTATATGGTTGTAGCTTCTGGAGTCCTCGTGGAATTGCGGTGAACTAGAATTTAATATGGCTGGTGCCAGACTTTAGAGGAGGTTCAGTTCACCTTCTTTAGGAATATTAATGAGGAAAAGACCCAGTTCAGTTCTTATTTTTAAAATGGCAGCAGTGAGTCCTTTCATTGTATGAATGTATGTGACAAATCATTACGCATTGTTTTGTCTGTCAACTTTGTATTATTCATCCACCCAAATTTGACTAATACCAGCTAAACTCTAATGGTACTCTGGCATAGCATCTTTCATCTAAAGAACGTAAAAAAAAGCTTTTTACGAACAAATTTAAGCCTCAGCATTCCTGCAAGAGAGAGAAGTATTATCCTGATTTTACTGATGGGGAAACTAAAGCAGAGAATATTAATCATGCAGTCACTGGCAGTAGAACACTGCACATTTCTAGTCACCTGTTTTAACCACTAACCATACTTTTTGGGGAAAATAATGTTCTCCTCTGAGTCCTCTGAGTGACTATAGGTATTTCCCCAGGTTTCCACTGATCGAGTCACGAGGAAAAGAATATTTGTCGTCCCGTCCCCTCCCCTCCTTTCCCAACAGAACATAGCGCCATGAAATTCAGGAAGCTCTGTCTAGAACAAATTGAAAAGCCTTTCCTTTTCTGTGTGCTGCAGGTGGGAGATTTACCAGATGCAGATATCAAACCACCAGAAAATGTGCTGTTTGTCTGTAAACTGAATCCTGTGACCACAGATGAAGACCTGGAGATAATATTTTCACGATTTGGGCCCATTAAAAGGTAACTTTTACAGAATAGTTATAAAAAAAAACACCAAAAAGAGAACCAAGTTCAGTTTAAGCAGTCTCCCTAGGTTCTACTGCTCTGCGTGCGCTCACTCTCTTTGGAGACCCACTTTGACCACCCTTGTATCTGGGTATAGTAGTGGGACAATTGTTGACAAGTTGGGGTGTTTCAGAGAAATACTGCCAGCCTGTTACATGGCTCTTTCTTAAACATTCCTCAGCATTAATTGCAATCCCAAAAGTTAAACTAACAAATTTTTGTCCTAGCTTAGTAAAATGTAAAAAAAAATCAGAGCATTAATGATGGAAAATAGAATCTGATTCAAGAAGCTTTCGTTTTACTAATTTTAGGACTAATTCTAAAACCTGTACAAATCTCAACGATTGCTCACATGAGTAGTCCCATTTAAATCCACTTCAGCTGTTTGAAGTCACTGAGGCTACCAGTGTGAGTAGAGGTTACTTATGTGAGTTACGGTTGAGGATCAAGCCTCAAAGGCATTATAACACAGGTTAAAATTTCTAACCTGTTAAAGTCCCTTTCAAACAGTGATAGTCGTCAGCCATTTTCAAACCAGAAGGCATTGACACTTTAATCTCATGCTATTTTTTCAGCTGTGAAGTGATTAGAGACTGGAAGACGGGTGAATCTCTTTGTTATGCTTTCATTGAATTTGAAAAGGTAGGTTGCTTATAAAAGCAGTGTAATAATATGCTTGGGTTATCTCTCTCCTCACAAACGCAGCTCTGTGCTGGATGGAATGAGAACAGGTGATCTGCTCAAGTGTGTTGGTTAATATTCTCATCTATTGACTGCAGCCTACAAAGGATGTAGTCCTCGGTTCAGGAAAACATTTAAGCATATATATAAGTTCATCCCTATTTAGCAAACTGTTTAAATATGTACTTCAGTCCCTTTTGAAGTCAATAATTGGAATATGATCAGACTGTAAGAGTTGTTCTCATGATATAAAATTTATAGCTTGTGTTTTATTGGTTGGCTGTTATCACTCTACTGTCATTCTGTGAGAAAGTTATCAGTGAAATTCAAGAGTATGCCAGAACACTTATCTTTAGCCTGCCAGAGAGTTTAGGATTTTTAATAAAGCCATTGTCTGTTGTAATTGCAAATAAATGTATTATTCCAAACATAATACACATGGCATAGATTTATCTAATCTCAAAGATGAAATGCTTACATTAAGGCAAATAGTAAAATTATTATATTTATTTTTAAAAATTTTAGAAATGTGATGAGTGTTGTGATTTAATCCATTTTAGAAAATGAAATACGTATTTACTCAGTTGTGGCATATTCATTAGGAATCTCTATGCCAAGAGCAATTCACTTTAGATTTAAATGCTGACTTCATAAGAATATTTGTGTATGATTTGTTAATTAATCTTGACTTAAATCTTCTGGAAACACTGCAAAAGGAGGAAGATTGTGAGAAAGCCTACTTCAAAATGGATAACGTGCTGATAGATGACCGGAGAATACATGTGGATTTTAGCCAATCTGTTGCAAAGATTAAATGGAGAGGAAAAGGTAGTTTTGTCGTCCTTTTGATTCTGTACCAACTTCAAACCTTAAATTATTAAATATTGCTCTCCTAAACTAGAGTTGTTGTATAGGACAAGCATCTCTGTTACAAGGTTAATCAACTCCTTTCGGCAGTATAATGGCCACAGCTTGGTATTCCTGGCTGCATGAGCAAAGGCTACTAAGTCTAGGACTCTACTTGTTTACTGCATATTAGAGGACAAGGGGTTTATTGGTGGCTGTCATGTTGCCAAGTGTATTTTTTTTCAGTAAAAGTCAACTATTGGTATTGTTTTATATTAATCTCAAGCTTTAAAGGGATAATTTTGGATATTATTTATTAACATAAAATTGCAGTAATCAGCATATTCTGCCTTTTTGTTTGCCATTCACTTCATGAAGGACTACATTTACAAGACAAATTGAATATCAAGGTATTTAATACTTCTGTTGCAGTATTAGCCTTCACCATAAGGTGGCAGCACATAACTGACAGTACTGTTAACTAGTTTTCAAAACTTCAAAACAGAAATATGGAAAATAAAATCCAATAGGCCTCTTCAAAATGTTAACCGGTGAAAAACGTTTTTCAAAATTTATACTAAAAAGTGTATAATTTTGTAGCGTGATTCCCTCCCTTCCTCTAAGTTTTAGCACAGAGCAAAGTTTCATTGTTTTCATTTTGAAAATAGGGGGGAGTAACAGAAATGCCAACAGAGCTGTAAGCAGAGAGCTGCAGGACCAGCTTCAAGCACAAACAGAACAATTGCCACTTGGTGCCTTGTGATCCTATCCAAGCTCTGCATCCAATAGGCATGAGGTGGGAGGAAACCATTACCTAGCTAGGTCTTCTCAGCAGAAGGACTAGAGACAGAAGGGAAATCATGGCCTGATCCCTCCCTCTTTTGCTCTGGGTCATGCACACTATAAGACCATTCCTGGAGTTTGTTACTGTGCACATCTGTAAATTTGATTACAGTAATGATGACAATTGTATCCTGAAATGTGCTATACTCCTATGTCTTTGATTTTTAAGATGGAGATGAAAGCCCAGTTTGTTTTTGTATGAACAGGTGGGAAGTATACCAAGGATGACTTCAAAGAGTATGAAAAGGAATGTGATAAACCTTCCAAATTAACTTTGAAGGAGAAAGTAAAGCTAAATCAAGAGTATCCTTAACAGTTGAATAATCTGTGTGGTATATTGGCCTATAATGTAGTGGACTTGCAACTAGATGTTGTGAAAACAGCTTCTAAATCTCTAAGCTTTTGTTGGGCAGATGTTTAACTGCTGCTTAACATAACTATGTGGCATCAGTTCTCGAATTACAGATTTATTTTTCAATTTGCTATTTTGTGTGAATAACACACGGTCAAATCAGAATGTGTTTATTTTACACCCACTTCTCCCGGTTGTAAATAACTACCCTACTGCAAAGCAGTGGAGAGGCAGGATGTTTTGTTTCCCAGAGCAGATTTCAATCAGCCTTACTCTTTTAATTTTTCATTATACATGATTTTTGTTTTGCACAAAATACTGGCTGTCTCAATGTTATGCCCATGATAAAGCGTGGTTTTGCTTGGTTTGTGAGCTTTTATATTCTGAATTGACCAATGATTGGTATCAAGTCTGCCCTTAATCAACTGATGTAGCGCAAAGTATGACCTTGTGCTGGATGAGGAGATAGAGGAGGCTAGAGCAAGTCACCTACACTCAGGTAAAAAACACAAGAAGAAAAAGCACCGCCATTCAGATGATGAAGAGGATGACAAGAAGACCAAAAAATCCAAGGTACTGAACTGCCACCTTTTCACTGACTATTTAATTCTGTGTCACCTTACGGCCATGTCTCCTCATAACTGCTAAAAGGAAATGGGTTCGACTGGGGACCTTGCATGCGAACATGCAATGAATGAAGGACTTGTTGCAGTGTAGAAAGTGGCTGCCCAAGATATTCTTGAACTTCTAAAGCTAGGTGTACATAATTGACCTTCTGCTGAAATGTCCTGAAAAGGTAGCACAGACTTCACAAAAGTAGGTGTTTCAACACGGGTCTGTTTTTCACATATTTCCCATCACAGATGAGTGAAGCTTAATCATATTTCATGAGTGCAATGTATTTTTTCATGTACTTCCTGGAATTGTGCACAGGAGCTTCCTCTAACGTGCAGTCAGAAAACAGCCTCTTAATGGTTTTACTCGTCTTTCAGCTGACTCAGAAGTATAAATGTGAAATCTGTGTTTGTATTGTGTAGATTAGTAATACTGGAGAATGATGGCTTTGTTGACACTGTGAAAACGATCAGTTGCTGACAATGATTGTCAGTAGTGGCCCCGCTCCCTGCACCCATCTGTTTTTATTCTTAGGATACTATTGATCTTCATTTAATGTAATCCAAGTAGAATTTATTAAGTTGGTCGTTTTAGCATTCTTTAACACCATGTATGAAAGAACACAGCTGATTGACAATTCCTTTTAAAAAGCTCCGTTGCCTGGCACATGGCAGATTTCATGCGCCTTGTTGGTATTAACCATTGAACCCTTAGTGCAGACAGGGCACAGGCATTTTTACTATCATGTCATCTAATCACGTGGTAGTAAAAACACCTGCACTTGTCTACACTACTGTTTCCACTATTGGCGGTAGCAATACAGTTCCGCTGATGTTTGTAATTTTCCCTGCTGCTTTTCTTTAGGTCAAAGGCATTTTGTGTTCTGTTCTGTCTGCTGAGGTATACCGTGGCTAAAAAGAGACATTCACTTCACTGACAGGCAACCTATCCTAACCGTACAATGCTGCACTACATACTGATGTGGTATTTAGAACAGCTGACCTATATGTAAGGTGCGATTGCATCGGCCACAAATAGACTATGAGAAGTGTTAGTAAATGTATCCTATTTCCCGCTCATATCGGTGGCATATTGGCTAAGCTGTTTGGAGACTGTAGTTTGAGAAGATAAATCAGCACAGTGTGACCAATTTAAAAAAAAATGTAGTTCCTCTTCTGAAACAAGGTAAAGAAATGTCTAGGAAATCCATCCTGCAATGGAGAGACTGTGATGCATGGGGGAGACAACATCTAAACAGGTTCCCATTATGGGCATAGATATAGGCTAAGAGAGTGTGGAAACTCTTCCTCTTTCACATACAAACATGTCATGCCAAACAGAATAATACACTAGGTAAGTTGTGTTGTCTCCATAGCATTCAGACATGTTCTATAGAGTTCAAATAGCTCTGCTTTTCTACCCCTTTTTCCCATTTGTTCCTTTTTTTTTACAAAATGCAGAATTGACCCCTAAAAATCTAAGTTTATCTGCATGTGTTCTATTTTTCTGTAAGAGCAGATAATTTCAAATAGAATTGTCCTACATTAAGGCCTCACTTCATTATGGAATTATATATAAAAAAAATCTACCTTAAAAGAACATGAAACTTGGAAAGCCAAGCACTCAAAAGTTAGGACATGCCAGAAAGGTTTCCTGTGCAAACTTAATGCAGCTTCCTTGTGCATGTGCACTGTGAAAGTCTTTAATTACATGTTTCAGAGTAGCAGTTGCGTTAGTCTGTATTCGCAAAAAGAAAAGACGTACTTGTGGCACCTCAGAGACTAACAAATGCATCCGATGAAGTGAGCTGTAGCTCACGAAAGCTCATGCTCACATAAATGTTAGTCTCTAAGGTGCCACAAGTACTCCTTTTTTTAATTACGTGATCACACGCTATTCTTCCCAGAGGATCCCTAACTCATTCAATAAACAGGTGATTATTCAATATTTTTTTATACTCTACAGCCATTGTATGGTCCCCGACCTTTTTTACTGCATACCATCCAAACCTACACTGAATACAAAATTATTAATTTCTCTTGGGTGCTTCTGTGGTGTTCATCACTACTATATTGGTGTCTGGCAAGAGCAGCCTTAATTCTGGCATTTCCAACTCTTGAGTGCTTAATGTTCCTTTAACAAAGTGGGGTTTTTTTTGTTTTTGTTTTGTTTGTTTGAAATGTAATTTCCTAATTTAAAAGTTTAGCCTGAAGTAGACACCCGGTATGGAAATTTTGAAACTGAATGGTTGAAGTTTTAATCAACTGAAAACGAAGTCGTATAATAGTAAGCAACCTTGACTCTGGGTGGCGCTATCAGCTATAATGATCTGAAGAGTATTTTTGCGCTCTGAGTAGTTTCCATGATGCTAAGATGTTTTTCTGCTCTCTGGTGGTGGTCTTTTTTTTTTTTTTCTTTTTCCTTCAGTGTGTTTTGACTCCTCCTTCATACTCTTGTTTTCTGACTCTTCAGTCTACTTCAGGTTTAAACATTATTTTTGACTCTTCCACTGTGTGTCTTGATTCCAGATGGTAGGGCTGTAAGGGTATTGTGGTTTTCTTTCAGTAAGTAGCAGGATGTGGGTCTTGAGCAGGTGGGCTCACTGGCAGAGAGAAGGGATCTGAATAGGAGCTGGCAGGGTGCTCTCGATAATACCTGTACTTATTGTTTGGGAACTTTATTTTCATTTATGACTTCCTTCCTTTCCAGTTTCCTCTGCTCTCGGTGTCGATTTCCTTGATTTCTTATCAGTCAGTGAATCTGTGGGAGGAGTGTAGTTCTTGTCCAGTGGACTTCTGTTGACATTTATTTAAGACCTTACTGACTTTCCCATGTGTTTATAATTTCTCATGGTTTATGAGCATAGTGAGCCATGTGTTGATTTTTATGGTTGCTAGCAAGTGTTAGATTAGTGAGTCAGCTACTCTTTCTGTTGGACTTTGTTCTGTTATATAGCTGTAATAGTTTAATAAAAATATTGACAGCTAAGTTTGATCTTAAGTTGCCAATTGGAAAAGGCAATCTCATTTGTTTGCTGTTCTGTTGATATAAATGCCTGTGATATCTCTGCTATGGTGAGATGAGTTTGCAAATTTGTGGTGTTTCTCTGGTGGTGGGATCATGTGTGATAAATAGCAATTTGCATGATCCTTCAGGTGCTTCACCTGTCCTTTGCCAAGTAATGCCCCTAAGGCTAGACTGCTTCTATTACTCCAAACCTCTAAGGAGCTTGCAGATAAGTGCCATTTCAAAATAAATAAATAAACTGCCACAGATTCCCTTCTCCTATTTCCTCTTCCCTTTCTAAACCTCCTGCTGCAACCCAGTGTGGAATTCCTCCACCCCAACATTTCACTGGTCAAAGAAATAGGATGAGCAATATTTAATGCTGGACCAATGACAGGCCTAAAATCCAACATGAGATAACTAAAAGGAGTTAGCCAATGAGGGATTTATTCTATCTGCATATTAGGAACTTTCCCCCCTCCCTTTCCAATGCTGTGTGACATATGTTTGTAGCTCTGCTATGTCACAAGACTCTGGATCTTAAAATCCATTATCATTTTAGTAACTGTGAGGTTCCTAAAAGATTTATCTTTCTCTGTGCCAATACATGTTTTTACATGCTGAGAAAGAATTAAAGGGAAAAGACAAATAAAATAGTTTAAAATCTTTAAAATGTTAAGATACAGATTTTACACATGGATAAGATTATTAAAATATGGCCTTTCCTTTTCCATCCACACAGCTGAAACTCTCATCCAGGCTCCAATCATCTCACGTGTTGATTGGGCAATATCCTTTTCTCTGGCCTTAACAAATGCAATCTTGCCTTTCTCATGTCCATTCAGAATGCTGCTGAAAAGATTATTTGCATATTCTGTCACACTCACATAGCCCTCTCTTTGCATCCCTCCTCTGACTCCTTATCTATGGCATCAAACATAAGCTGCTTGTCTTCACTTTCAAGATTCATCACAGCCTGTCCCCACCCTACCTGTCATCTCTCCTTCACAGTGGAGATGTCAACTCCCACCTCTGATTGGCCCACGATGCCACCTCCATTGCACACTTGTTAAATTTTCAAATAAACACCCTCATGCTTGTCCCTATGCTGCCTCTCTCGTTTGTGAGCTGCTCTGCATGAATATCTGCAAAGCTACCTTATCAGTCTTCAGGTCTCTCCTTAAAATTCTCCTTTGCCCTGAGGCCTACAAAAAACTTGACAACAGTTAGGCTGTTGGTGTGCTGAGAGTATTGCCTGTCATGCAGACCAGTACATTCTTGTTTCCTTGTACTCTGTATACATCTGTTGCCTCTTGATTTTAGACTTAGCTTGTGAGGTTTCTGGAGTTGGGACAACCTTTTTGTACAGAACCTAGCACAAGAGCACACTGGCCCATGACTAGGGCTCCTAGGTGCTATAGAAATACAGTACAAGTAATTGATAATCATGTTAAAATAGCTATTCTTTAAGATGTAACAAACTCATGCTAGTACCAATCTTTGTATCATGCCATCACTTACTGTACAGTTTGTGTAATATGTAATGTACACATGAATCACCAATGGTAAATAAGAGAAGAAAATATAGGGACTGTACAATGGCTGGTGAAATATAAAGGTTTGGTCAGCATGAGTTTGAGATGGTTACCCGACTCATGAGAGGTAAAGCCGCTTTCAGGTTCTAAAAGTAATCCTAAACTTGAAGCAATAAAATATTTGCCGCCCCCACCCCCCCATGGCATCATGTAATCTGTCATTTTTACAAAAGAACGATTTTAAAAAAATTTTTAAAATTGTATCCCTTTTCAGATCTTCCTTTTATAAAGCCAGGTTCTCTTTAGACTATAGGTTCATCTTATACAGGTATCAAAGGGAGAGGAAAATTAGTCAATATGTTCTTAGAACCCAATAAAAAAAATTACCCACCGCCACCGCCCCCAAAAAAAAAAAAA